CTTCTCTGACCCCCTGCCCTGCCTGCTGCTCCTTTTCAGCCTCAGGGAGTGTCGCCTGGAGGCGCTGAGCCTCACCCACCTCTGCGAGGCTCTGGAGACGTGCCCGGGGCCTCTGGAAGTCAGGTCAGTAAGGAGGACGCAGCCACAGATGCGGGAATCTACCCTGTCATCTGGGGGTGTGGGGGTGAATCTTTTCTGGTTCCTTCCCACCGGACCTCACAGCCAAACCCCCTGAGAGTTCCCTGGCCCATTGCTAGAAGCCTCAGTAATGAAAACACTTTCGTTATGGAGACTACCAAGCACATATACAATCGGAGAGAGTCGTGTGGTGGAGCCTAGTTCCCCTCTACCTACCTCCGGAAGTCATCACTCCGTGGCCCAGCGCACACAGGGGCACACGCATGCACCCCCAACACCTCATTTTTTAAAAATGTATTTTTATTGATTTCAGAGAGGAAGGGAGAGGGACAGAGAGCTAGAAACAGCAATGATGAGAGAGAGTCATTGGTCAGCTGCCTCCTGCACGCCCCACACTGGGGATGGAGCCCGCAACCCGGGCATGTGCCCTGACCGGGAATTGAACGGTGACCTCCTGGTTCATAGGTTGATGCTCAACTACTGAGCCACACCGGACCTGCTCTCTATTTTTTTTTTTTTTTTACAAAACCCATTGTTATAGAACAGAAAGGGTTTGTCCATCCGGTGCTAGCAGAGCCAAATACTGACCCCGAGGACCGCAGGGGAGAGAGATGGGCTGTTTTATTCCGAGTGCCCCTCCAGGAGAACGGAGGCTAAGCTCAGAAGCAGAACTGCCCCGTGGTGTGTGGGTTGCAGACCCTGTGGGACAAAATCCCAGGACGGGGGCGTTAGGGGTGGGGCTGTGCTGGGAGCTGGCTGGCGGGCGGAGATGAGGTCATGAGTCATTTCTCTGGGTGTTGAGCTCAGCTGTGAGGTGTTTCCCAGGGTCCCTCTGTCTGGTCTCATGGGAAAGTAGCCGGGGGGTCTGTTCCACCTTCGGGCTCAGGAGCCGAAACTTAGCAGGTCAAGATGTGATTTTAGCCGGACCATTACCCAGGCCTGGTTTCTGCTGCCTCGGATGTGGCTGATTATCCGAGGGGAAGGTCTCTTAGAGGAAGAGGGAGAGGGAGAGCCAGAGGGAGAGCGTTCTAGAGCTAGGATTTACAACTAAATGTAGTCAACGTCATTGGACCCTAAAATAGCAACATTATTTTATGACCTATTAAAATCATCAAATATCCCATCAATGTTTCGTTGTCCCTGATGGCTTGTGTTTCTCACACGGTGTTTGCATAGTCGTGCCTTTTGATACTAACCCTCCACAGTTGGCTTGTGCCACAAATTATTCAGACACACACACACACACACACACACGGCAGCACACACACACACACACCAATGCCAGAATCTAGATAGACATGCAGGCTGCTCCCAGTATTTTTTGTTTTGGTTCGATTTATTATTATTGTTGTTGTTGCTGTTGTTATTATTATTATTAGCACTGCAGCCAGTACTGCAAAAAGCACTCTTCCTAGAAGTCAAAGAACACGAGTCTGGCATAACCCAGCATTTCCCATCGCATATGCCCTTCCTCTCCCTCTAGCCGCCGTGATCACCCAGGGACCTGGTGCTCAGAGGGAACGTTTGGGGCCCGGCTCTGGCTGCGTGGCCACGCTCCTAGCTGTCCCCAAGGCTTCCCCACATCATTCAGATGTTCTGTCTCACAGATTGTCCTGCGTGGTGCTGGGTGACCAGAGCCTGGACACCCTGCTGGGGCACCTGCCCCGGCTCCCCCAGCTGAGCCTCCTGCAGTAAGTGTTTCCCCCAGTTTTCTGTGCAAAGCCACCCCCTCCCTCCCCCGCCCTCCTTCTCCTGAGCGGTGTCATCATTGTATCTGTCACAACTGGGAGCTCGAGTCTACTTGCAGCTCTTTCCTTAGACTTTATCCACCTTCGGGGGTGTTATTTGACCCCTCTGGGCCTCAGTTTCCACATCTGACAAATGGGATTAATATTCCCCCAGGGATGGGACTCAAACAAGACAGTTGTTTCAAAGCACCTTGAAGAATGACAGGCCTGTGACAGGTGGGCTATGGGACTACTCCCCACCCACAGAAGTCACCTGCTTCTCAAAAGGGACTCTCCAGAGGCAGGTCATGCTCACGCCACACCACTTTTTAAAGGTCACCGTGCACGTTCAGAAAAGGGAACTGGAGCGGCCTCCCTTAAAGTATTTAAAATTCTGTTTTCTAGTTTCAGCTCCGACTGGTTAGAATTTAAAAAGGATTTACTTTCTCTCTTCTAGCGGGTGGGAGAAGCTGCAGCAGAGATGGAAAATAAATCGTGTCATTCATAACAGCAACCTAAGTTCTAATGCTAAGGCTCCCAGACACCTGAGCCGGCTCACAAACACCCAGGCTCTCCAACCTCCTGAGTCCTGTGGGAGGGAGGGAGGGAGGGAGGAGACGGCGGCTTTCCAGAGTTGGGCAAATTCAGCAAAGCTCACGTCAACCCCCACAGCACCCACTCTGGTCCTACCCTCAGGAGAGAACGGGTCAGGCAGGCTCCTTTGGACACAGAGGGTGGCGGGTTAAAATGAACAGGTGCAAAACTTCAGACCAGAGAGGGACGTCTCTATGCCCAAGTCACACAGCGTCTGTCTTTGGAGCCAGGTGGCCAGCCTGACTGTCCCCGGGTCTTACACTTTGTATATTACTCAGTCATAGTGCTTGTGCACTGCTGTGGGCCAGGAGCTGTTTGGGGTGCTGGAGACACAGCCGGGGGTGGGGGGCCTGCTTGGGGTGCTGGACACACCGCATCCTGCTCCCTGCCACCAAGACTCGCCTGTTAAGTCTTGCTTGAGGGAGAAATCTATAATAATAAAAGTGTAATATGCTAATTAGACCGGACGTCCTTCCAGACGAAGCCGGGGCTGCGAGGGAAGCCCGGGTCCCGGGTGCCAGAGGGAAGCCGGTGCCGGCAGCCGGGGGAAGGAAGGCCTACTCTTGCACAAATTTCGTGCACCAGGCCTCTAGTATAATAATAGGGAGCTTAGGTATCGGTTAGGCAGTGCCCACACTCAATGTAATTAAATCCTCAGGACACCTGCAGAGGAAGGTAGCCCATGAGTAGAGGCCTGTTGTCCATGTAGGGAAACTGAGGCTCAGAGAGCCTGAATGACTCACGCAGGGACACACAGCCAGTAAGCAGAGCGGGGGCTCAAACCCCAGTCTGCTTGACGCCAAGCCCCTATGTGTCCGTCTTGAGACCCCGCTTCCTCATTGCGGTGCTGCCCTCCCCGCCCCCGGTTCCTGCCCGCCAGCCTGTCCCGGCTCCTTGCCCGCTGAGCCTGCCCGGCTCCGACTTGCTGACTTGGGGTCGCCCCTTCCCTCCTCAGGCTGAGCCAGACGCCACTGTCCCTGGGGAGCCCCTTCCTGCTGGCTCAGCTCCTCAGCCTGTGCCCACGAGTTGAGAAGGTGGATCTCAGGTGGGCATTGCCCAGTGTCAATGGGGCTGGTCTTGGGGGCTGTGCCTGAAGCCCGGTGGATGTGAGGGGTAGGATGGGGGCAGTAGGACCCACGTCAGAGGCTGGGCTCCTGGAGGAGGGGTGCCTCCGGGGGGCATCCGAGGCTGTGGCCAGGGGGCTGACCCAGGTACCATGTGCTCCAGGTCCTTGCATGATGCCACCCTGCACTTCAAGTCCAGCGAGGAGCAGAAAGGCGGGCGCTGTGGGTAAGTCCCAGGGCGGTGCCCTGGCAGCCAGTGGGTAGTGGGACCAGACCTGCCTCCTGGTGGCGAGAGGACAGACAGCAGAGACTGTGCAGAGCGCTCCCCCAGAAGGACCTGCAAGGGGACTTGTTTCCTCCAACGTGAAGAAGCTGGGCTCCAGCCTGGACAGGTAGCTCAGTTGGTTAGAGCAGTGGTCGGCAAACTGCGGCCCCTTGAGTGTGGCTCTTCCGCAAAATGCCCCGTGCAGGCGCGCACGTACAGTGCGATTGAAGCTTCGTGGCCACACTCAAGGGGCCAAAGAGCCGCATGTGGCTCGCGAGCCGCAGTTTGCCGACCACTGGGTTAGAGCATTGCCTCGATATGCCAAAGTTGTGGGTTCGATCCCTGGTCAGGGCCCATACAAGAACCAACCCATGAATGCATCAATAAGTGGAACAACAAATTGATGTCTCTCTAAAAAAAAAAAAAAAAATCAATAAAAAAATAATTTAAAAAGGAAGCAAGGCTCCAGAGAGGGTGGGCCTTGTCAAGGGCAAAGGGGTACACGTCAGACTGGCCCAGAACTGAGAGCTGGAGGAAAGGGACTTCATCACCGCCCACCAGGCTTTAATCCCAGCTCCACGAGGCCAGGCACTTGGGGCAAGTTCCTTGACCTCTCTGATCCTCGGCTCCTGCTGCTGGAGACGGGAGACCCCGTGCTGCAGGGCGCTTGCAAGGATTACATGAGGCGACCTGTCAGGCATGGGTGTCACGTGTGCCAGTGCCCCCCTGCTGACTCCGGGACCAGTGCTCTGTGGTTGCGGGCTGAGGGGGGCAGATATTGCGTGGAGGCAGGCTGATGGGAGGGTGACCTCTGAGTGCAGAGATGACATTTCTGCCACTGGCTCCTCAGAGCCCTTGGACCAGACCCTTCTGGCTGCACCTCAGCTGTGAACTAAGAAGCAGAACAGCTGATATTTGTTGAGCTTCTGAAAGCACATTCTTTAGAGGAGGAGGAGGAGGAGCAGGATGAGGAGGAGAAGGAGGAGAAGAAGAAGAAAGAGAGAGACATCGACTTATTGTTCCACTTATTTATGCATTCATTGGTTGAGTCTTTTTTTAAAATATATTTTTATGGATTTCAGAGAGGGAGAGAGAGATAGAAACATCAATAATGAGAGAGAATCGTTGATTGGCTGCCTCCTGCACGCCCCCTACTGGGGATCGAGCCCACAACCCAGGCGTGTGCCCTGACCAGGAATCTAACCGTGACCTCCTGGTTCATAGGTTGATGCTCAACCACTGAGCCACGCCAGCCGGGCTTAGCTGTAGTTTTTGACTCCTGTCCTAGCCCAGCGATAGTTTCCAAGTCAGAGGTTTCCAAAATGTAGGACCCTGACCGGGGTGGGGTGATTTTTAGGAAGTTGGGAAGATAGCAGAGTCAGTGTTCAAGTTCATTGACTCCTTCAAGTTCGTTGACTCCTTCGTGAGGTCACGATTCCGTGTGTCTACGACCAGGAGGAGCTCTCGGTGGTGTGTTAGCGGGTGTTTAACACTTCTCAACACTAAGCTCCCTTTTTAAGAGAGAGAGAGCCCTCGGCGGGTGTCAGTCTCTGGCTGGGCTTTAATGCTGGGATTTTGCTCTCGTGTGTTCTTACGCTTATGGCCTGTGTGTGGCACGTGATGCCAGTTTCCCGTCTGAGTGAGTGACACGGGTTTTCCTTTTCCAATAAAGGAATTAAACCAGAATGAGCTGACTTGAAAATAGAAAGTAAAAATAGGGTGCGAGGGAATTTAGGACTGTGGGGAAAACAAGGAAGGAAAGTAACAGTGATAAAAATTTGAAATATGGATTTTAGGAACAATCCCCTAACTAATGAAGATGAGTTCATGATTTGACTCATGTACATAAAACCAGTGGGGAATGAAGTATGGTACCTATTTGCTTTGTTTAACAATGGACAGGTTATTTTGATTTTCTGAATT